TGCAGAGGCACGGGAGCGGGGGCGGACGAACTGTCCGGGCGGGGCTTCGGGCCTTCCACATTGCCGTTCGGTGTCCACGGTGGGTCGTTGCAGAAATAAAATAACGTTGACAAATTAATGAAAATGAGCAAGCGAAAACAAAGAGAAAGGTCCAAAGAAAGATAACATTTTGCATGATTAGTAAAAAGAAAATACAAAAACAAAACAAAAAACAAAGGAATTACAGTAAATCGTTGCTATGACGAACAATTTAAACTATCTACACAATCAGCTATATCTGGTCGCTCCTTATCTGACAACAACTATAAACTGACATACGCCTTATCAATGTGGAATTAAGCTCGCCTAAGCAAGGTTTTATTGCAAAAAAATATTTTTGAGAGCAATATGAAATTAAATGAGGATGTATAGCACTACTAAAACTTCTTATATAGAGTTTTCTTTATCCAGTTGTTTTCTATTTGATTTCTGTTCTCCTAGTTAGTTTCCCTCTCTCTTTGTATTTTGTCGTATTTTGATTCCCATCCTAGTCCTCGGTGTTTGATTCCTAAATATGTCACATAAAAATGCTGCTTAGAATATTCGCATTACATTTCAACAGTTGAGAACTTGAAGGGGGGACAGAGGAGATTGCTTTACAGTGATTGTCATATCATGTGTGTCACCTCAGTTCATGTCTCAACTACATAACACATCTATTAATAATGATAAGTAAAGCGAAATAGAGACAAAGAAACTCGTTTGCCCAAACCAGTTGGCATCTCAATTCAAAAAGCTTTCACAAGTCTCAAGCACGGGCCGTATATCATCCATGCTACATGCGTCCGCACACAGTTGCCACAAAGCGCATCAGCACTGTAATCCACACACACACACATTTGTATATACAGCGGGCAACCCTAAAATGCCTTCAACTGTAAATTTTCGGTAGCTGCCATTTTTATTTTTTCATACTTGAGACCTTTTCGTGTCAGAAAAGCTTTGTGTAATTTAATTGCCGGCGTAGTGTACAGCGAGATTCGAAATTTCTGCCTCTGGGCGCACACGAGGGTCCTGCGTTATCCTTGAGCACAAATTTACACAGAGGAAGGGGGAGAAAGATAGAGAGAGAGCAAGAAATATTTTAAATGAATAATAAGCAGAAACGAATTCGAAAGCATTTAGACGGGCAAACAGCGCCTTTCCTTGTTTGACCTGTGCGCAAAGTTTCGTTAATGTTTGTTAATTAATTGCAATAAGTTCGAGGCGCAGGTAAAACGCAACCTTACTTCGCTTTAGAGCCTACGCTAATCGGGTGGAACGTCCAACGTCATCGCATATTTACATCAAATGACAGCCAAGACACAGGGGCAGTAAAAGTTCCCAATGCCACTTGAGTTTAGTTCCATTGCCCGTTGTGTGGACTGCCCTTCTGATATTCCAATGTGGGGCAGAAAAAAATAAATAGAACCAAACAAACAAGAAATTTTTTCAGAGGGTCGCTATCGACTGTACAGTACTCATTCACGGTCACGGCTTAAAGAAGTCAAGCAGTTAAAGTGCCTGCAGTCCTATAATTATCCCATATTAGAGCTCTTCAATGGACAGTTCATGCATTTGCCTTCAAAATCAGTGACTTGGTTTGCATCCATACGGTCATTGCACGTGGGAGGACATTGCAGCAAACCAATATACTCCTTTCGCAATAGTGAATGCCCTTGACCAAGAGATGCCATGTTAACGTGTATAAGAGTTGACATGCTGTGCTACACTAGATATGTTTTCAATATTTTTAAATGTATTCCTCCCCCATTTATAATATTAAACTAATATTATTGTCAAAACTTTTTTTCATAAGGTATACACATATATAGACATATCAAATCAATTCTACATTATATGTAAATATATTTCTAAGCTAGTCACCAACTAACTGTTGAAAATAGAATATCTGTAAAGTTAGTTTGAACAACTTATATACTCATATACTTATATCGTGTTAGCATCTTATTACTATCTCATTGTCGACTCATTTACAGGGTATCGAAAGCCCAAAGAATAAGAAGAGAAAAAAAGAAGTTAACGTTGTAAATATGCATGGAATATGTAATAATTTGCATGAAGCCCGAAGCCCAAAGCCCGAAGCCCAAGCCACTGCTGAACTACTTCTGAGTGAGTGAGAGGCAGAAATTTGATTATATTTTCCAAATGGTTTCTCTTCTGGCTAGTTGTTGCTGTTCGTGTTGCAATTGTTGTTGTTGTTGTTGTTATTCTTGTTGCTTCAACTTTTAAGGCCAACAACAGCAAAACATGCCACGGACTTTCGGCTTTCTATAACAGCATGAAAACGCAGGCATTGACGATGACGACGACGACGAATAGTCAAGTTTTTCTTTCATTGCTCCTCTTCTACTTTTTGTTTTATGTTTTTACAACAGTTTGGCGGCAATTCTCCAATATATGTATGTATTTGTATATATGACCCCCTTCTTGCCTACCCGATCCATCTGTCTAAGAGTGCAAAGCGGAAAACCCACTTTGATTGTCGAGTGCTGCGTCTATTTGTGCTTTGCCATTGTAAAATTGCCCGCTTGCAGTTTGGGGGCATTAATTTATGTGATGGAGTTACTATGGCTATCTTTTCCAAAGCCCCACATTTCAAGATGAATGTCCGTAAATATTGTTTTCAGCTGTGGGCACTACTCTGCCATTTCGTAATGGTTCTCTCCAAATTTTGACGAGGACAGAAACTTTTAGCTAAATTAAATTTGAGCTTTTAATTGTGTCTAATTGCATATATCGAAGTCGTAAAGTTTCAGCAAAGAAAGATGAGTCGTAAGCGCATGATTATTAAATGTTTGACCTTTGGAATTTGTGTATCAGGTCTGAGCCTAATTCTGGGTAATTATATATAGTAAGTTATATATAATTGAATCTATCTCAAAGCGTAGTAAGCACGTCTGGTCTAGTTGCTACTACTATAGATTGCCTTATGCATAATTCATAAATATATTACTGAGGCATTTGACTTGGGTTACAAGTCAAGCATTTTTTATGAAAAGCCACTCCTTGGCATAACAGCAATAGGAAATCTCATTTGTTTTTCGCTCGTTTATTTGACAGGGTTTTCGCCATAAGTAGATGTGCCACAAATAAAAAAAATGAAGAGAAATAACAAATATAAAAGAGAAATCAGCTTGGCTTGGCGTTGAAGGTCGAATTGAAAATGAAAATGCGACATAGAGCAATTTGGTTTAATGCAAATTTTCAATACCCTATATGGTAGGCATTACAGGGAGCACGGCTAATGGTTAGATAATGCAGACTACAATTGAGTCTACCTTAAATCAATTCTGACTTCATTTGGATAACCATCGTTAGTCTAGAACCAGCTATAGTAATCATTATAAAATTGTTCGTTTACCTGACCTATCTTAGAGCATCTGCTAGTCGTCTAGGCAACACCTTATCCACTTTTTACTTGTGTCGCTTCTACCCAACTGATTTCTAAGGTGCTTATAAAGTCGAGCCATTGTCAGAAGCCAAATAGCTGGAAGAATAAGTAGCGCAACAAAATACCTAACCACCCCCTCCCCCTCCCCCTCCTCTCACACACACACTTATATATATATATACCGAATGAGCGAGATAGAAAGGAAATACGAAGAAGAAAATCAACTGATATGCTTGCGTTATGTTGTGCGCCCAGGAAAATTGGAAAATTGCTTTTCGTACACAACAGCCCACAGCCCACAGCCCACATTTTTGGGCCGGGCACAGGTGTGCGTGAGTGTCCGCTATGTCCTGTGTAAGTGTGTGCGTGTGCGTCTGTATTTGAAAAGGATATGTGAGTGTTTCTAATGGCTTTCGGTTGAGAGGTCATGTCGTACATGTTTCCCTATAAATTTGCGGTACAAATACTGAACACAGTGAAGAGCTGATGATGAAATATTTTACTGTGCGCCAAATTCCAAACCAACACACAAATGTAATGAAATGAAATGAAATGCAACTAAGCGATAACGCAGAAAGCAAGAGCGAGAGAGAGAGAGAAAGAGCGAGAGCGAGAGAGAAAATGAGATATCTAGAATATGTGTTGAAAACGTTGATTTAATCTTTTTTTTTCTCTGCCTAGGCAATGTATTACAACTATTCGCGTAAATATATCCGAACGATGAAAACAATTTCACTAAGCAAATGAAAAAGAGAGAACGAATTCTTGATTCTATTGCGAAATGAGATTACTCTTATATGTTTAGATGACATATACATTTATATAGATCTAACATGCAATTCGAATTTCACAGTAATGTTCTGACCATAGCTAAAATATAGAAAATTTTAAATTTCTTACAATATTTCCATATTGATGTCTTTTAACAAGAATATGTATTCGTTTCGCTTCCAGATGCCAGAAATTAGATCACAAAGAATAGATAGTAGAGTTGAGGAATATCAGACATATACTAGACCGATATTAATTCGATTTCAAATGTAGCCAGTTTAATATAATCAAATGAATGACGTGTTCAAAATGTCAGAAATACAATAAATAACAAGGAAGAACGTTGCCGTTGTCACTGACTGCGAAATACTCACTCGAGGTCATAATGTTCTAAATTTGAAGTCTCTAGCATCAATAGCAGCGAAATGGTTTGTAATCAACTGGCAGAAAAATGGACATTGCACAAACCAATATATCCATTCCGCGTTCGTGAAATAACTGAAAAGCCGTTGGCATAATATACTGATGACCAATGTTATTACTGTTGTTGCCGATGTTGATGTTGTTGTTTCTGTTTCAGTTGCGGTTATTCAAGCAACAAATGGGCAAACGAGCAAAGGTTGGTTTAGGTGAAAAATCAAATTGAATAAATATATTACAGATTATGAAATATTGTTCCTGATAAATATTTCTACTGCCTGAATAAACAAACAATTGGCAAAGCGCTTCAGGCTCGCCATTTCAATTATCTCTGCTTAAATAATTTGATAGACTTTATTTGATTTCAACTACTAACCTCAAACAAATGCTTAGCAAATATGGTAAACACTCTCGTGGATTACACTGAAAAGATAAAAGGAAAATATTTATATATTTTATATTACGGAAGGACAATTAAATATAAACGAAAAAGATTATGTCCGTCTGCAAATTGGGAAATACTAAAGCTTTTGTACCTACAAACTTGACGAACAGTGGATAAGCAACGGCCAACTAAGAACCAAGTGGACCTACTATACACTGATAGAGGACGTGGAAATCGAGGTATAATCGAATATTCCACAAAGATAAATAACACATATACATATATATGCAGATACTCTTTACCGCCAACACCCCAAATAATTTAAAACAAACACGAAAATCGGAATCTACATCTAAAATTTGGAATAAGATACAATTAGTTAACTTATTGTCGATGTTTTTTTAACAATAACGAAATAACGAGATGACATTTTCAAAAACAATTTCAAGCCACACAAGTCTACCTCTTATATTTTCTGATATCGACGCGCTCATAAAAACGGGCAGACAGACAGGCAGGCCTAAATCGACCCAGCTCATCGCCCTGATTAAGATTATACAGGGTCTTCCACGCCTCCTTCTGCCTGTTACATACTTTTATGAAAACCATTTTCGTTGTATCTTTACTTTATTACTTTATCGCTAAGCAGACTTATATAACATCAAGACCTTAAAACCATTTAGAGGCAGGCATGCAATATCTCAAGTTGGAAGTTGCTTATGACAGAGCAGGAAAATGACAATCGAGCGACTAATTAAATGTCTATGGTGTCTCCGCCGACTTCTGTGAGTCCAGACGCTAAGCTACTTAACTGTCAACTAAATTAATTTCGCACCGAGTGTTTTAATGTCAATGGGCTATAGGGTTATAGCTGACAATGAAACTATGGATGTACATAGGCTTATTCACGTATTTTCTTATTTATATAACTAAAATGTATTCAATGCAGCTATTTTTAAAATACATCTTATCTTCTTATAAAAGCAGAAAATCAACCTGAAAAAAACCTCCACCCTGCCCTCACCCCCTCCCACCCACACACACACACACACACACACACACACACACACACACACACACACACACACACAGATGAATTTTGTTTATTGATCATTAGATTTTGTGTTTATCAGGTTTTTTTTTTATAATTATTTTTGTCAATCTTTGGAGCCTCATCTGTTCTGCATTTTGCATTGATTGCTTTTTATTCCTTTTGAGCATCAATTTGTTGGCTTCGTTTATTATTTTGATTACCATTTTGCAATTTGATACGCTCACTGCAGGGGCACAAATTGTATTCAAATATTATATACTTAACAATTTAATGCCGTTCAAAATAACAGAACATTTAAATTATTGATTCGTTTAGCCCGTCGCATTTATCTTATATTAAATTATGAAATTTCCAACGTAAATCGATGTTTATACAACCGTGAAATATAATCTGATTATTATTATGCAACTTTATCATTATTATAATATATAATATAATTTACTCTACTCAACTTGTTTTAAAAATTGTTATTCTAAAAATTGTTTTTTTTTTTTTTTTTTCGTTAAGTAAATTTGTAAACATTATTTCTCACATATATTCATACATATGAATATAATTTGTTGAATCATACGAAAAATATCAAATTATATTATTGAATTGCATTTGTAACAATGTATCTAACAGGCAGAAGAAGGCGTGGCAAAGCCCTTAAATTATATATATGTATATTCTTACATAAAACGATGAGCTGAGTATATATGCCCGCCGATTTGACGAAAAAAGACAGGGTAGCTTCTAGCAGTGCAGTCTCTAGACTCTTCTAGAGTTACTCTTCACTCACTCTTTCTTGTTGTAAGATGATGCCAAATTACTTTCAAAAGCAATTGCAATGAGAGCAGGGCACGATGCATAGGTAAATGTCAAAATGTTTAACAACGATGTAGACATTAGAAGAAGAAGCAGCAGTTGCAACGAACTTACTAATTACAGAGCTGATTAAAATTTAAGCAAGTGGATTAGTAGACAGCACACACATACCCATATACGTATATGTGCATATTTATACAAACACAAACAGGTTTTGGCTGTTGAATTGCGTTAAGGCGATTGTCAAGTTAATGCGAGCAAAGTAATTTTTTGTATGCATGTCTGTGTATGTGTATGTGTGAGTGTGCCTGTGCTTTTACGTGTCGTTCGTGTGTGTGGTTTTCGTGCATATAAGCACATAAACAGAAACCAGGCACCACGCCCGACTTCTCATAGATAAAACGCAAGCTGCTATGAGATTTCTTGAATGCCAGTCCAAACTCTAACCGATAAAGAGAAAGAGAGAGGTGATATATATATTTATATACACATACATATGAGTGTGTGCATTTTAATTAACGGCGCAAGGATACAATTTGGGAGCAAAGCTCAAAGCCAAAGCCCAGTCAAGGATATCCAATAATAGAACTTGCTTCGACAAGCAAAACTGCGTCAACAACTGGGAAAATGTTTGAAAATTAAATAAATGCATATACTACATATGCATATGAATGTAGTGTGTGCGCGTGGGTCTTTCTTCAAACCTATCAAATTATCCATGGGCTAAACTAACTATCGCACACATATTACTCACACGCACACGACACCAAAGATAAGTAAGTAAGCTCTAGTCGGGTTATATATACCTTGAACCCATTGAAAATGCGAAATCGAGCTACGACAGTTCGTTTACAAATACTTATTTCCGATTCAGTGTTATCAACTAAAAACTATCTAAAATCAACTATCAAATTATAGTCCCCAATGTAATTTAACTGGTTTAGTTTTATATTTGAATTGTTTTATTGTTTGGTTTAAAATAAGAGCATTCACACACGCTCTGTCATTGTTGAAAAGTTTTCCAATGATGACTTTGTTGGCGTTTTTCTGTCCAACAAAGCAAGTGCGGAAAAGTTTCACAAATCGCGAAAAGCGTTTAACTTTTTTTCTATTATACGGAAAATTTCGGAAAAGTGCTGATTTGCTGTGTTGGAGAGTTGGCTGTAGTGTAGTAGAGAGGGATAGAAGAGTGGGATGAGGACAAGGGATAATGTCAATGTGCACTTTATTGAGCAGCGATGGCATTTTCTATTGACCTTGATATCAAGTGGGGCAAAGTACTGCACTCATCAAGATGGGCGACTGGAAGTGACTGGAAATGGGAATCCAGTTGCGGCGAGGTGGCTCTTAAATGCAACCCAAACCCCAATTCGTGTGCTGATTAGCGAGAGAGGAGAAGCTCTATTGAATGCTATTAATGGGAAATACTCCATCTCCATGTCTTTCTCTCTTATCTGTATTTCCATCTATATTCTAGCCGTCACTCTCAGTTGGCGCGGCGTGCATTTTGCGACCATTTGCACAAGTTTTCAGTTGCTTGTGGATGTGCAGGGAAAAACGGAAATGAAATTTTGCGTATTCGATTCTGTGAATACGGGAAATACAGAATATATTCCGCGCTGGCTCTGCTTTCATTTCGTTATATGCTGAATGATTGGCAATTGTGCTCGTGAAATGAGCTGCAACTTTTCGGACAATTTCAACTAGACTTGCACACCATGAGATTTCACTTGAAATTTGGCATCAAACGTTCGAATCATTCAGGATGTGTTCTTTTATTTATACGTCTATACATGAATAAATGCATTTTTTAATATGCTATAAATACTCAAATTAAACAAACAAACAAACAAAAACACATGCAAAAATATAAAATATGAAACCTGCATACAATATTTCATCGCTAACAAGTCTTAGCTTTTGTGCTTTACATTCATCAAGAATAATATATATATGTATACTTTATGGGGTCTGTCACGCCTCCTTCTGCATGTTACACATTTATGCCAAACGTATTCTGTACTTGATGTTGACTAACTTTAATTAGCACTACCACAAATCTGCGTAATCATAAATATGGAAATGTAAACGTAAATGTAAATGTGAGCGAAATATTAAAATAATTGCAGCAATAACCGCAACATGTAGCGATTTTGGCTCGAAAGGGAAGAGAAATAATTGCCAGACAAGCATTTCATAGTCTGAATACCGAAAGCTATCGCGCATAATATTTATTACGAATATTTAGATGGTATATCATTGACTCTAGCTTTGAATATAGAATATACACTGTTAATACGAAATTTTCTACTAGTTATCGATTATTTTCAAGATACTCGATACCCGAGCACTATATAGGGACCTACGAGGTTTGAAGTCTCTAACTCTCATACATGCGGGAAGACAGGCAGGGCTAAGCCCAATCAAGTCTTCCCCCTGCCTGTTGCAACATTCTAACAAATCTATCCATACTGTCTTTATATTTTTAATAGAAATTCACAAACATATATGCAATAAAATATCACAGGGCGAAACAAACTTCAGTTGTTTAATTCAACTTCTGATTCGCATATCAAGATATTATTGACAGTGTAAGAATCTCGATTATAAAAGAAACAAAAGTCAAATTGGTCAACTTTACCCAGTAATTGAAGAAATGTGGCACTTGTACTCGATATACCACCCTCGCCCATCCCTCAGAGGCGGAATAGCGAGAGTCCACAAAAGAGATACGAGCCGGTTCCTAGCTTATTACGACAAAGAATTCAGTCAACTGCTCCTTGATTTGAACGGCTGTATTAACTATTAATTATGTTCATTAAACTAACGGTATATTAAACACACGCATTGTACTATATCTGAGATAACATATGTACACATACCTATAAGCAGGTAGATATGAGCTCTGTATGTGATTGTTGTGCGTGTGAGAGTCAAGTTCTTGGGTCCGAAGGCAAAGCCACATTAATGATACGCCATTTGGTTTTACGTACGCTTTCTTTATTGTATTGTACCACCCTAACCAGCAAAGCGAGTACCCCACTTCCTTACTACCTGTTAACTAGTTGGTGCTGCTCATATTTATGTCCAGAATTTGTTGCCTTTCAGTGTGAGCCGTATTTGCCAGCTGTTAATAAAGCAGATTGGTAGCCATCTAGTGCATAAAGTATGAGCAAGTTCTATTCGCTTAGCTTGTGTCTCTAAAGTCACGGATTCGGATTATTGAAAGTAATGAGTAGTACATTGATAATCTCTATTGATACATATAATTTCATGTATTGCATTGCTGCTACTACAGCTGCTGCAGAAGATAGAAGTTCATATGTTCCACTACTTTAGTATTTCGACAAAAATTTTAACATAATTTAACTATGTACGGCGAAATCATCTTCAATTGCAACCAACGCAACATAACCAACACTCCTCGTTCCCTCCCCCCACACGACTCCTCTTCATACACTGCTCGACCGAAGTAAAAGTCAAGCTACTCCATTTTCGCATAGCTGGCCGTAACTCGTAAAGCAAGCAGTAAACAAAGTTTACTGCCCCGCCACCCAACCGCCTTCGCCTCTTCCTCTTCGCCGACTTTAGCCCCTCGCAGCACCTTAAGAAAAGCTACCGCTCATTGACTTGCCGTTACAAGAAAACTTTGGGCCAGCAAGTCGCAAACTAGCTGGGCGCCAGCCTGGAATGAGGTGGGACGAGAGATGACACAGGGCGCAGCATAAATGCTCGAGCGAGAGGAGCAACAACAAAGGAGAGGGACCATGAAGCGGTAATGTGCGTGCATGGATGGGTGCGTAGGTGGGTGTTGGGTGTTGCGCAAAAGTTCCTAAGAAAATATGTCTACACTTGCCGACATCCGTTTCCGATTTTAGACGCGCGTTGCTCTTGCCTGTGCGTGTAGAGACCCAACGCCCCGGGGCCGTTTCACACACACATACATATGTATATATATTGTATTCGTATTGGTGTACAGGACACATTCATTGTGGGCCCGGCCCACCCATTGAATGCAAATGGCGCAAATTCAAATTACAAACCAACAATTTCCGCAAAATGTGTTTCGCACTTTTCCTTTCTTCGTTAATTTTTCTATTTTCATGTACAGTTAATTGCGCAATTCATGTAGCTATGCGGCTGTGTGTGCGTTCTTTGCCATCCTTAGCTTCCATCCAACACGACCCACGGCTGTGTTTTCTATTTATTTAATTCATCCACTTTGCAGCAGAGTCCTGACATAATTTAAAGTAAATTAGAAAAGTTTTCTTCTTATTGCTACACAAACAATTTTGCGTAAAAGCTAACGACTTCATAATACTCTATTTAATATAGAGTAAATATTTCCAACTAGATTATTAAGTAACGTAACATTATAAACTTAATTATAAAACTTGAAGCACGGCGCTGAAAATATATGAGCACTCACGGACTGAAACAGTTATTCTTGAGTGAGTCATTCACCGAAAACAAATATATTCTTTCAACTATTTAAACAGAGCAAACAAACAATTTAAAAACAATTTCGTATTTACCATTTTCAGGATATAAAGATAAGCAAGAAGTAGGAAGTCGTAGGAAGGAATCGTCATAAAATATACATATATGTTCTTAAACGGAACAACAAACGGAGATAATGTAGGGAAACCGGCGGATTCACAGAGGGACAACGACGGAAGATGGGCAAATTCAATATCCCCTTTTTGTACGTAATTAAAATGTATATCCAAACATGCATGCATTTGATATGTTAAATTGGAGGTTGAGTTTTGTATTTACTAAACTTCCAACTCACATCTCAATCCAGTTAACGACTAGTGAAAATTATATGCAATATTTTCAAGACTCTACTGTTCTCATTCTCATCCTCCTTTATCTCAATCTACGAAATGTAAATTGTTCAACTGAGCCAATTATTTTATTGGTTCTTATACAGAATGACGTTGGCATATTTCATTATCAAAACAGCTCAACCTCAATAGCAACATACGCCAGTTCCTTTCCTTCTCCTCTAACCCAAAAGCCGTGAGAATATGAGAAAATTTACATTAATTTCAATATGCCACCTAAAAGGCAAACAAGGAAAAGAAAGGAGAACGTTAGAGGTGCTTACAACTGCAGACTACACATTCCCCTCTTCGAGTAAATATATTCGCTATATGGATTCTTGGATTCCCAAACCGAGAATACTTTCTAAATCTCAAATCTCTCTATCTTTATACAGTCATATAAGGTCACAATTTTTGTTTAGTTTTACCAAATATACCACGCTCCTATCAACGCAAAAATCGATTCAAAGTTTTAAGAATGAGCATTACACAAAGTCCAATATACTCATTTTACTCCGTGAGTGAGCATAAAAATATGAAAGAGGAGAATTTCTCATCCGCATTTCCATAGTGGGGAAAACGGAAGAGAAGTGAGGAAAAGAGAAGAGAGCCCAACAAAACATTTGCATGGGTCGACATTTTCTGATTGTGTCTGAGTCCGAGGGCCTACTTGTTGTTCGTGCCTGTTATGCAATATTGCAGGCAGGGATGGAGAGTAGGCGCTGGCTGTGAACAATGGATATGCCACATGAATGAAATGTACATCCAAATCGGGCCAATCTCTAGAAAGTGGGCGCATAAACAGAGGCGAGGCTCGGTAACAGGCTACCATCGTATAAAAATGGGGAAAAGAAGTCGGGGAGTCGGTGAGTCGCGTCTGGCGCGTTGACTTGCTGTTGTGCCAATTTGGGCAGGGTTGCTGTCCTTGTTATACCCTCTAGGCCCAGCATATTTGGCATATTGATATTTGCACACGAATACTTGCACCAGCAATGTCTATTCGCCATCAGGTTTCCTCAGTTCTGGGTTATTTTCATTCCCGCCGTTTCCCTATCCATAGCCCATATAATATACAGGGTATAGTAGAGTTGCGCAGTTTCACCCATTTCTCATTGCAGTTGTATTGGTTGAAGGGCAGTAGCAGCAGCAGCAGCCGTCGCATAACAAATTTGTATATTTATGTATATTTCATGTTCTTTTCTTCTTCTTTTCCATTTTATTTATTTTGTTTTGTTTTTGTATTCGCTGTTGCAGTTGTTATGGAAAATAAATTGGCTGGGCTTATTTGATGCACAGGTTTGTGTCTACTTCAGTCTAAAATAACAAGGAAGTAGTCGAGTAACAAAAGACTGAGCGCCATTTAAGCCCATATAAACTAGGCATTCCATTTACATTTTTACAAAAGGAGTTAGCTAGTCGATAAGCCTCTCTGCGAGTCAAATGCAGTCCTGATAATAATTTCTGACCAATGGGCACTCACGTGACTATTCCAAATGCGCAGAAATAATAAGAATTGCATTCAATAGAGCTGCAGATTGAGCCTCATCACAACGAGACACTAGCTCTTGGCCTTGTATTCTACCCACTAAATTAAACCTCTCTGATCCTTAACGTCGGCCGACTTTATAATTGACCCCAAAAGAGCTTTATCTGAGCAGAGATTTGTTGGCATCTTGAGGACTTTTCATTTATGCCAACAAGATATTTCGGATTTCTCTATTGTTATTTTTCGTTCCTCCTCTCATGTCATGCGATTTTCAATTTCTTATTTCTTTTTGAGCAATTTGCTATTTTAGCAGGTCGGAGTTAGAGTCCTTCGGCTGGCTTTGATTTCGTTAAGCGTTTTTAGGAAAGCAAATTATCCATAGCTCGACGTGAGCAAACAAATTTCTACGCAATTCGATATTGAAAGACAGAAACAACAATTTAATACTATCTTCAATTAAAATATTAGTATGACTATATGATTTCGCTAGGACAGGGTAAATCAAACCTTTTTTTCTCATTGAATATAGTTTTATTTAGGTTTTTAATCAGTTCTTAAGTCTGACTAAATTAGAATTTAATAATAAAGTTGTCAAATAATATAATAATCCATAATCAGTAAAGTAAAGAAATTTTTTTTTTTGTAAGTTATAGATTACGAATATAGATATGGCCATATGTCACGAAAAATGTTAAGAACTGGCTAAAATTGATCTTTTTTTTATACAAATCAAAGCAAACAGTGTTATATGTTTCCAGCAAGAAAACGAGCTGGATAAAAAAAATTATTAGTTCTAACTTCATTGAAAAATGAATTCACTCAAAATTTCAGTATTTATTTACTTTGAATGTGCGCTTCTGTATTTGATTCCATGTAAAATGCAATATTTATATCTATAAAAAAAAAAAAAAAAACTAAATATCTAAGACTATATATTACAGATGTAAATGGAACCCTTCGATGTATTGATTGTCGAAATTATTTATATAATTGCAATGTTAGCAAAGATCTTTTGAACGCAGGACATAATGAAGGTAGTATAGTGGATTTACTACCAAATGAGAAACCAGATCGAACCTATAGGAATTGCATATTGCCCGGTAAAAAAGTATCTGGTAACTTGGCTTTTGTCTCCGCATTCACATTCTGATTGTGATTCTATGCAATGTATAAAAATGTTATATTTTATTTAGGGCCTCTCATCGGAACCGTGTGCTCTGCTACCAAAGATAGAACCTGTGGCGTATTAAGTTTTCGTAGACGTATCATTGTGAAAGGAAGGCAAGATCAATGTAAATATTGTGCTGCGCCTTGCAGATGCAAGTTTCATAACGGTGTAACATCGACTATTAAAAAGGACGGTAAAAAGATGTGTTTAAGCTTCTTTCTAATTTTGATGTTCATTAACAATCCGATTTTATACCATGTGAATTAAATTAATAAAAAATTAGTCAATTAAAAATTAGAGATTCAAAGATATCCTCTTCATAGAGGTACATACAAAGGATTTTATATAATAGTAACTAAAATAACAAATAAACGTTACGTTAACTAAAAAACTATTTCCACGAGAAGAAACCGAGATTGTCTAAAAGGAAAACAGAAGACTCGGCCAAAGGCACTAGAATCAAACCTGGTGGAACGAGCACGTTACCCACGAGGCATGTAGTATTTGTATCTATTTAAATTCAAAATTATATTACTTTACTAATCGCAATTAAAATTTGTATTATAATTGAACTCTCAGCTGGTGATTCGCGTGTAGATTTTATGCGTGGCGATGTTAGAATCTTGTTTATGCCCTATGCAAATGGTGAAGACGGGTATATTGGTTTTGATAACATATATGTATGTAACTGCGTCGTATTAAAAAGGATTATAAGTCATAAGTTGCACATGTCGCCAATATGTAAAAACCCCAAAATTTTTACAAATTTGTAGTATTGACTATACGATTTGATTGAGATCCGTTTAGTCGCTAGAAAGATAGTGGCAATTTACGTCAGGCCATGTGCACACACACCTTCAAGTGAATTCTTGTATTTTTTATTTGAATCGAAATACTATTGAATTGTATTTAAACTATCCGCTGTTGCTTCATTTCACATTGCCGAGTAAATATTAATAGCATCATTAGCCATTCCCGTGTTAATATTATCGATTACAACACGTTTCATAAGTTAGAGGACTATATTATTAATTTAAACAATTTTTAATTTGCGTGGGTTGTAAACCATGAAGGCAAGAGATCTCATAGGTCCGCTAATGAGATGATTACAAACATTTTTCATTTCATAGAATTTTTATTTGAGAATTGGCATACAAATATTCATTATTTTTATTATTATTGCATGCCATTATTACCTTCTCGAAGTTCAATTGAGAAAGTTCATCTACAGCAAAAATATAACTCAACTTAATGATGGAAATATCAGCTCTTCCCAGAGTTCAGGGTATTTCCTAGTCGAGCAGTCTCGAGTAAAGCACTCTTATTTTTATTTTGTTTTGTTTAATTGAGTTGAAAACCAGTTTTATTTGTTTGTAAGCAAAAAGCAACACAATCATTAAAAGCAAATATAAGTTGTATGCGGCGCAGTTGCAGCGCAGCTTTAGCGCTGCTGCAGCGCTCACGTTTGTGCCGTTTCGCTGCTATTTTGTCCACCTTTTTCTGCCACACATACTTTTTTCATAGAGACAGAGAAAGAGAGAGACAGTGAGAGAAACCCCGACAGAGCGAGAGTCAAAACGTTATAGCATTTTTTCTTATCAGAATGCGATTATTTTTGGGCTGGCAAAAATAAAAGCATAGAACTTTTACGCAGGCAGAGAAAGTCTTCTCTATCTCTCACTCTAGCCTTGCCTGCCTCTGCGTCCGTCTGCCTGTTTGTCTGCCACTCTGCGTGTGTGTGCATGTGTAAGTGCGCTGTGCTCAAGCTAGCGGGAGCTTTAAACTCGTTATTGCCTGCTGTTGCCATCGCTGCAGACGCTAGCGTTGGCAGCGCCGTCGCTAAGCAGCTTCTACTCGCTATCTCGCTTGCTCCCGCTGCATATTCGCTTTAGACTCGTCGATTGCGTTGCTTTTCTTTGTTTTCTTTTTTCTTTTTCTTTTTGTTTTTGTCTTCTCTGTTCTGAATATAGTCTGCCCTCTTTGCGTTGCTTTTGTTGTTGTTTTTGTTGTTGTTTTTGTTTTTATTGTGCTTTTAATTAGAAATTAGTTCTACTTCATTAAAATTACTTGTGCTCGACGATGTGCAAATTGCCGTTACTTGACCATTTCCTTCATTTATTTTTTTTTTTTTTTTCGAATTATTCAAGAAAACTTAAGCAACAGATTAAGCAAAATTGACAGCAAAGAATGAAATTAAAGTTACGCACACGTGCTTGAATCACCTTTTACATTCCTGATTTATGCAAACTTAATTTCCAGCAATAATAATTATTTTCGCAATACTGTGCAACAATTTTAACCACATCTGATTACATTATGCAAAGGGAACAATCAAAAATGTTTGCTGTAAATTCACAATTATGCATTATATAAATAATTAAGCGAGAGGCAATATTAATTACATATTCATGCTTACGATACACTGCGCGAAATACCGGCTTCATTTAAGGCTGTTTTTCTAAGCTATTTACAAAGAAGTGCGAAATATCTTTTCTATATCTGTATTTCTGATTAAATACAGTGAATACTTTTGAGTCCAAAAATTTACATTTGTTAATACACTTATTAGCAAAACTCAATAAAAATTCTACAAATACCACGTACTACTTCAAAAACTTTTCAAATAAATATGGAAGTTTTTCAAATAAATATGGAAGCTTTCTTTTTGCATGTTTTTTAATTATCTCAAATAAATCTTTTAATTACTAACCTCACAAGGGGCGTGTCACTCCCAAACTCATATTCTTTTTCTCTTTCTCACACACACACTCACACACGAATGGTCGCTTTCAACCAATCAGTTAAGATCACATCAGTACCATGCACACATCATTTTAATTTCATTTTTTAACTTTTGTATTAATAATATTTTTATCTGTGTTGTGTGTTGTGTGTGATTCTCATTTATTTATTGATAAATTTCATGCTCCTATACATAGGTTGTTTCCTTTTGTTGTTATTGTTGTTTTTGCTCGCTGCTCGTTGGCCCGTTTGTTTCATTTCCACACGTTTTATTTTCACGCACAGTGGCACAAACGCGTTGTAAATATTCAGCATATGGTGTGCAAACCAATTCAGGCATATTCATCCATACTAGTCACACAGTGCGTTCGAATTGCGAATGCAGACGCCGACGTCAACATCAAACAAAACCGTTGCAGAGATGATAAAACTAGCGCGCAGCGCAGCACACACCGAATATCTTAAATAATTGTAGCTGTGCACTTTTTAAACAAATATTCTTCGTCTTCTTCTTCTGTTGTTTTGGTTTCTCTGTACACTTTCACTCAATGTGATATATATATATATATATATATATATATATATATATATATATATATATATA